CTGCAACTGCGGCTTCGGCCCTGCTGATCCCCCAACCAGCGCTCTGGTCCCTTCTCCAACCACATTCCTGCCAGGCTCAAGCCTGCCTCCTCCAGCAAGTCTGACTGGACTGCTCCAGCCAGTCTGTCCTTGAGGGCTGCCAGGTAAAATACAGGCCACCCAGTCATAATTGAATTTCAGATAAATAACTGATACCTTTTAGTATAAACATGTCTCAATTATTGTTACCATAGGACACACTTATACTACAAGAAATTGTTTATGTGAAACTCAGTAACTGGGCATCTGTTTTTTATTTTGTTTCACTAAACCTGAAAGTTTACTCCAACCTCCCCCCACCACACACACACACACGTGCGCGCACACGCACACACACGCACACACGCACACACACACACACATGGCAGGAAGTGCTGGCTCCCGAACTGGCCTGGGTCTGCGCCCACGCACGCACACACACACGCACGCACACACACGTACACGCACGCACACGCACACACGCACATGCACACGTGCACGTGCGCGCACACACACACTCACACGCACACACACACGGCTGGAAGTGCTGGCTCCCGAACTGGCCTGGGTCTGCGCCCCTTCTGTCAATCATGGGAGCCAGGAAAGGCATCAAGTCCAAAGGCAGAAGACAGGCCCGAGGCATCAGGAGCCGAGGTCTGCAGAGGGGCGCTGCGTCGCCCCCCCACAGCGCGAGGCAGCCCTCACCCAGCCTGCCCCCGGGGCGCCCCATGCTCCGAGAGCATTGGTTCCCTTCCTGCGCCATCTCCCATCTCCCAACAGCACCCACCCCCCGGGCTGGGCCGCGGTGCTCCCTGCCCTCTCACCGGCAGCCCACAGACACTCGCACTCAGGTGTGGCTCCTGGTACCTGAAACTTACCCCTGTCTTGGGCCAGAGGAACCCTGCCTTTCACAGGCAGATTTGCCGGTGGGGGCAGGGCTGAAGCACCTCTGTGTCAGGGAACAGAGGAGTGTCAACTAGATGGGACCGGGACATTTGTGTCACCAGCATCTGGTTCATGGCCAGAGGTGCAGACTCTGGGCACCTGGCTCTGGGGTCCATGTTGTTGTCCCTTTGGCCCTGTCAGCCCCAACCCCTACAGGCTCAGCTACCAGCTCCAGACAAGGAAACTTCTGGAGAAGCCGCGGCTCCAGGCGACCCTCCGTCCCGCAGCCTGGAACACGAAGAGTTCAAGCTGGGGAAGTCCTGCCTCTCCCCACCGCTTCCGGCCCGGCCTCCAGGTCACCAGTGGGACCACCACCCAGCTTCTGACCCGGCTACGTGGAGCACGCATGTGCGACATCACTCTGGCTGCACCCGCCTGCGTGTGGGCCGCCCCTCACGCTCCCTGAGGGTCTTGCCATGCCTCCAGGCCCTCCTGACTGGGCCCCGAAGGCACGGTGCAGTGTCATCATCCAGCGAAGGGACATGCCTGCCCTTCCGAAGAGCACGCCGCCCTGGCGGGCCCAGCCAGACACCCTCCGACCGCCCTCCCTGAGCAAGTCCTCGCCTGGCTCTGCCTGCGCGGCTTCTGAAGCAGGTGGTCTGTCCCTCCGCCTTCCTGCCCCCTGCATCCCTCCATTTCCCCAGCTGTCCATCTGTCTGTCATCTGTCAGTTCATCCTTTCGGGTGTCTGTCCACCCATCCATCTGAGACACTCACTGAGGAAGCAGCCTGCCTTGTGTGCAGCCCTTGTGGGCGGCACGTGGTGTGAGTGGACACAGCCTGCAGGGGCAGGCACCATGGGGCAGGGTAGGTAGCCTGCAGCTTGGCCCTGTAGGGCAAGAGGTGGGCAGGAGGTACAAAGAGAGAGAAGTATTCTTGGGAGAGGCCCTGAGGGGCGGCGTGCGACTGGTGTCCAGGGACTCAGCACTCAGCACCCCAAGAAGTTGGTACTCGGTACCTCGTGGGGACTCAGCACTCAGCACCCCAAGGAGTTGGTACTCAGTGCCTCGCGGGGACTCAGTACTCCCAGGACTGGCTGGTTACTACTGCAGCAACTTTGTACTCAGCACTTGCGCTTTGCAGAGGCATAAAGAGCAGGAAGGGAGCAGACAGGAGGTGAGGCTGGGGGTCGGCAGGAGCCAGATCACGGAGGGCTACTCAGGAGGCTGGGGAGCTTGGATTTCAGCTGGGGGCGACGGGGAGCCCTGGGAGGAATCCGAGCGGGGAAAGGGCACACTCAGGCCCAGCTGGAGGCTCGGGTCACCAAGTCCGGTGTCCACATCTCACCTGTCCTTCAAAGGGTTGATTCTCTCACCTCAGCCAAGCCAGGCGCTGCCTTCCCAGCCACCCCGAGCCCGTTCCATGCCTCTCCTCCACCCCAGCACAGGCCAGCAGGGGAGGTAGGGTCATCAGAGGAGCCTAGGGCCAGGCCCAGGGGTGCCAGGATGCCGGAGCTGGCTCTGGAAGGACCGAGGAGGCCCCGGGCCAAGGTGAAGCAAGAGGCTAGCGCTTGGCCCACACCTGGGAGGGCCCTGGGCACTCCAGTGGGAGGCTGGTTTCGCTCTCCACCTCACCTGGGTCTCCTCCCGGCCGCCCAGGCCCTGGCCCAGCCCAGTGACTTCTTGCCTGGCAGATGGGAGAAAGGGTGTCTTTCTGGTATGTTCTCTTGCCTGCCTTCCTGGGACCCCCGCGGCCTCCTGCTCTGTCCCCCAGAATCAGAATTCAGCAGCCCCCAGCTGCCCTCACCTCTGCCTGGGGCAGGGCCCCCAGGGGAGCAGAGAGCCCGGCTGGCTACCCTGGGCCTCCCAGCCCAAGGCCAGCCCGGGCTGGAGGCCACAGCCCCTTCCTCCCAGGTGCTAGCTGCAGGGCAGAGCTGCACAGCTGGGGGCCCTGGCTCAGGGACTGGGGTGGACACACCCTGCCCGTCCAGGCCCCACACACTCACTAAGACCCGAGCCCTGGGGTCTCCAGGGTCTCCGACTGCATGGAGGATGGAAAGTAAAGCCCCTGCCGAGGGATCCGTTCGGTTCTGCCACCCTCACCTCAGCCTGGGCTCCAGGAGCCGCACAGGTGAGGCTGGTGGGGCTGGCTGGAGGGACCTCAGGTGTGGGTCCCACGCAGCGCCAGACTCACCTGCATGCTGGCAGCCCCGCTGGTCCCAGAGCCCCAGGAGCCGCCGGCGGTGCCAGAGCCAGCAGTTCCGAAGTGAGGCCGGGCGGGTCCTACCTGACTTCCGCGTGGGACTCACCTCCCTCTCCCTCTCCCTCTCCCGCCCTCTCCCTCCCGCCAGCCGCGGCCTCCTCTGTTGGTCCCTCCAAGCCCGCGCCCAGGCAGCGGGGGTGGAGCCAGCGAGAGGGCACACCCAAGGGTGCTGGAACACCCTCCAGAGGCCTTCGCCCTCACCTGTGGGGGGCGTTCCCCGGGAGAGGAGTTAGATTGGCATGCCCTCCTGGGGGGCCAGGGGGGGCACATGAGTGCTCACCGATGCCCTGGCTCCTCTGCTCCCCTTCGCCCTTCCTGACCCTCCCACGTCACCTTCAACATCCAACCCGCGACCCCCAAGTCCAGAGCTGATCCCCTCAGAGGAGAAACTGGGGCACCGAGGCTTGAGGATGAGACAGATCGAAAAAAGAAACTGTCTTCTTCCCCGCTGAGCCTCTGCTTCGTGGACCCCAGCTGTGGGAGCGGAGCCCTTGGGGTCTGAGAACAGGTGGCTGACCGCGCCACTGAGGGTATGGCTCCGCCATGTCCAGTGCGCCAAGGGCAGTGGCTGGGAGCAGGGAGGCGGGGTACCCAGGCTCTGAAAGCTGTCCCGAAGCTGAACGCACGGGGCAGGAGCTCAGCAGGACAAGGCACCTAGACAGCATGGGACAGCTGGAGGAGCAGGGAGCACCCATGTCCCAGCAGGGCACCCATGATGTCATGTGGGGCAGGAAGCGCCATGTCACAGGGAGCACCCATGATGTCAGGGCACAGCATCACGCAGCCCAAGCAACCCAGCGGTTGGTTCAGACCCTGGCTGACATTTGTTCTGGGATCCCCTGGGAGAGCATGGCCCCACCCATGCTTCTGCTAGGGGGGTCCATGGTAGCCGGCAACAGCAGCAGGGGCCAGGACTGAACTGTGAGGTGGCAAAGACAAGGGAGGGATTTGGACTCTGATGGAGCAAATTCGAGGCATGTTGTGATTGGCATGACGGCAAACCCCAGATGGCACCGACCAGAACAAGCTCGCCTGCCTCTCCCTCCCATACGTGAAGTCTGGGGGCGGCCAGTCCAGGACCAGTTATTAAGTTCTTGCTTTGCCACCTTAAACATGTGGTCCCCCCACACAGCTCAAAATGGCTGCTGGAGCACCAGGCATCACGTCCACACTGGAGCTGGCAGGAAAAAGAAAGAGTGCTCCACCCTCATGGTTAGTCAGTGGCCACACCTTAAAGCCAGGGAGCCTGGAAAGTGTGATCATTTTTCCTAAGAAAGGAGGTAGAAGACACTGGGGATGCCCAGCAGTCTCTGCCACGGGCCAGAGGGCCTCAAACGCCGCGTTAGTTCAGAAGGCAGAGCCAGTGAAGGTTTTGAGCGTTATTCCGAACTCAGGATCCAATTACGCACCAGCTCCTGGGCTCTGCCTCGCCCCCAGATCTCCAAGTCAACCTGCCCAGGACACTCTGGGAGTTGACAGACTAACACAATCCGGCAGCACCTGAACTCAGGCCTGGCCCCTCACGGGAAGTTCCCGCTCTCGGGAAGGACGGAGAGGAAGCACAGGTGCATCTCCTCCTATCTGGAGAGAAAACAAGGACGGCCCTTATGGAATGTCATTCCGCCGAAGGAATCAAAAGCCTTAAAATAGGTTACACTTTGGTCCATTAAGTTAACTTTGTGTAAACTGGAAAACATCCGAAATAACGTAAATATATATGTAATTATGCCCTTTGAGGCAAAAATTGTGAACCTCCTAGATGAACAGCCACAGGAAGATGTCTGAGCAAACATGGTCTCACGGGCCAATTAAGCAGCCGTCACAGACTGCTCTCGAAGAGCTTAGAACAGAGGGAGTGCTCTGGCTTTGGAGGGCTTTGGCTTTCTATACTAAGTGCAAAAACATAGATTGCAAACATGTACACATGTTTTATCTCGACCAAGTTAAAATGCACTAAAATACTGGAAGGGTACATTTAGTATTGGATGTTTATATTTGCTTAACGACGTGAATTGTAGATGGTAGAGTTAATCTTTTCTTCCTTTAGTTTACCTTTTTCATTTTCTGCAGCAAACACACATTGCTTTTTATAAACTTTATTATTAACTTTACGATCACACTAAAGTCTATTATTACGAACGTTATTTCCCCCAATCAGCCTTTCTCTTTGCCTTGGTCTCAAATGCGTCTTGTGGAGGAGCCACGGTGCAGTGGGCCAGCCCCTCGCCGGCAGTGTGGCCCCAGCCACGCCAGCTGTTGGCAGAGCTGACCGCGCCCTGCCTTGGGCAGGGAACTTCGGTAGAGGCCCACGTGGCCTCCTGCTCTTCCCCTGTGGACCCTGGACCCTGCTCCTCTTCCTCCTCAGAGCCCTGCCCATCCGCTGTCTTCCCTCTGAGGACCCAGGGGCAGCAGGAAGCGGCCTCCCCATTCCCCCGTCTCCAGGGCACCTAGACGCTTTTCACTGGGGGGTGGTCGCCACCACACAGAGGAGGTCAGGACTACAAAGCCACCAGGAAGGCTCTGGGCGAAATGCCAGTGGCAGAGGCAAGCACTCCCCATCCTCCCAACGCCAATGGCCTGGATGTGTCTCCTGAGCGTGTGTGTGTGGGGGTGCTTCCCAGAGGCAGCTCAGGGTGGGCGGGAGCTGGCTTGCTTCTGGGACGTCCTGCTCATGAAGCCAACGTCATTTCCGCAGACAAAGCCGGTCTCAACGTGTAAGTCTGTGCAAGGCCAGTGCTCTGGGGACCGTATGTCCTGGTTCCCCACAGCACAGTCAGGTGACAATGATCTCGTCATGTCTTCCTGTGGCCTTCAGGATGGAGACCAAAGTCCAGCCCTGGCCATTCTCGCTAATCTCACCCTCACTCGTACATGCACTCGAGGATGGCCACAGAGAAGCCGGCTGCCCAGGCTACCCTGGCAGCCCTACCTGGATGGGGCTAGGGCCTGGGGCAGGGGATGTGCCGAAGGGCAGTGGGGGCCGGGGGCAGCAGACTCTGGAAGGCCCCACAGCACACTTCCCAGAGCCAGTGTTTCCTGGTGGCTTGCTGGTCCCCAGCTGACTGGGAGGCTCCATGTGGTAGTCAGGAACTGGGACTCGGTCACATCACAGTCAGATCCCGTGCTTGACAGGCGGGGGCTGCGTGAGGGAGCTTCAGCACATACGTATTTGTATATGTATATTTCAACAGCTTTATTGACAGGGAATTCACACACCATATGATTCACCCTTTTACGCTTTTCAGTATGTGCACAAATATGTGCCACCATCAGCACAGGCAATTTAAGAACAATTTCACAGCCCTGGAGAGAATCCTAGCCCTGCTGACCACTAATTTACTTTCCGTCTCCATGGATTTGCCTATTCTGGACGTTTCATAGCAATGGCTCAAATAATAATGTAGTCTTTAGTGAGTGGCTTCTTTTCAAGGTTCATTCCTTTTTATGGCACAACTTCATTCCTTTTTATGGCCAAAGAATTTTCCATTACGTGGACATACACATTTCCTGTATCCATTCATCAGATAATGGGTGTTACCTCTCTTCTCCCTTTTGAATGTTATGAATATAGCTGCTGTGAAAATGAATAAAAGACACCTCATTTAAAACGGAGTGGGGAGGCCTGAAGGGGGAGCCCTCACACACTGCCACTCCTGGTCATTCATTACACACCCACCCCAACAGGAAGAAGCATCAGTTACGGACCCAGTGGGAAAAGACAATCTTGCATTCCCACCAAGATGTATCTCTACCACTCCAGCAGGAGGAAATATTTTTCTCCTGGCCCAGCAGCCGGCCCAGTCAATGAGAACCGTGTCACTCAGCCAATGATCAGCCATCACTACCCTGAACCCTCGCTTTTCTCCCATAGACTTTCATTCAAAGCCCCCCACACAACTTCCTTTTTCTCTGTAAAGTAAGGTTCCTCTGTCTTTCTGGACTTACCTATAATTTTTGCTATATAGCATGCTTGTCCCGAATTGCAATTCTCTGCTATTCCTGAATAAACCCACTTTGCTGGTAAAATAACTGGCTGTTTTATTTTTAAAGCCAACACTCCTGTGAACATCTATGTACGAGTTTTGCGTGCACGTGTTTTCATCTCTTGGGTATATATTAACCAGGGAAATTGCTGGTCACATAGTAACCCTATGTTAACCTGTTTGAGGAGTTGACAGACTTTTTCAAAGCGGCTCAGGGCTACATGTCTTTGCAGGGCCATTCTATATTAACAAATCGAGTCACCCCAAGTCAGCATGTCCACACCATTCTGACAGCCCAGTTTCACGAGATCCCGCAAAAGGACTACCGCCGGCCACCTGACGACCCTATAGTCGGCTAGAGTCTGAAGCTCCCGGTGGCATCCGGTCCATCGCAGGTGGGGTAGGGGGTCCGGAAGCGCCCCAAAAGAGAACGGGCGGGCTCCATCCGGAAAGTGCTCCAGGAAAGCGCGGGCGAGTCTGGGGGCCGAGCACTGGTCGGGCCGCCTGGAAAGGAGGGTCTGGAGTAGCCTCTGTGCCTGGCAGCCCGGGAGAGACACCACTGCACCCTCTCGCCAGCTCCGGTTACCTAGCAACCAAGAGGCATCCTTCCCAGCAAGCACTGCTTCTAACCCAGAGGTCGGAGACTACGAGGTCCAGCATGCCCCGCGGCCCAGGCGCGCGGACTACAAGTCCCACAATGCACCGCCCACCCTTTCCTAACCGCCCCCAGCCCCTGCTCCCCAGAGACCCCGCCGGCAGGCGCCGCGACCCCTTCCCGGCGCTCCCCGCGCCGTGCGCGGCGCGCTCGCGGTGACCCGGTGTGCGTGAGGTCACGGTGCGGGGCGGAGCGGCTCTCGGGGCCGAGGAGCTATGCGGAGGGGCGAGCGCAGGGACGCTGGGGGACCACGGCCAGGGTCTCCTGTGCCCGCGGGCAAGGCATCGTTGGAGGAGCCGCCGGACGGCGCGTCCTCGGGCCGCCGCAGCACCGAGTCCGAGGTCTACGACGACGGCACCAACACCTTCTTCTGGTGAGGGGCGACGGTCGGCCGGGGGCCGGCCGGGGGCGTGGGGGCGTGGCCAGAGCGCCCGGGCCCGAGGGGCTGCGGGAGAGACCCCGGGACGCACCCGGCCTTCCTGGGGGGCCAGCCCGCATCTCTGACCTCTGCCCCAGAGCGAGGGGCTGGAAGCGTGCCCGAGGGACCCTGGGACCGGCGTCCGCCCTGCTCCAGCCCGGCCTCCCTGGTGGTCCCCCAGCATCTCCTCTCCCCTCGCCCTTCTCGTGGGAGGATTTGGCGCAGGACAGGCTTTTCCTGATCTCCCTGTCTGAAATTCACCTCTGCCCTCCGTCATGTCATCTGTTTTGATTCCTTCATTGCGCTGTGTGAAGTTATTTTCTGTCCCCCCCGGGACGTAGCCATGGTAACCGGCACGAGCACCTCACGCAGTGCTGGGAGTTGAGTGGATATTTGTCAGATAGCCGCGCTTCCTCTCTTCGCTTGCCCCTTGCCAGGCCAGCTCATCGACCGTGTGCAGCTCTGTCCCAGCCCAGCCGTCGGGGTGGGGGCGGCGCCCGGAGCAGCCCCTGCCCTCCCAGAGCCTCTGGCGGAGGAGCTCGCCCTGTCGCCTTTTGCTCTTTGGCTCTCCTGTGCTCGAAGGTTCAGGAAAGTAGCCCTGGGCCACAGGTCCCGGTCTGGCTCCTCTGCCTGGTGGCTCCGTGACCTTGGTCTAGCCCTTCACCTTTCTGAGCTTCCCTTCCCTCATTTGTAAGAGAGACAAACCCCGTCTGCCAGAAAGCATGTTTTGTGAGAGGAGGGCTTTGGCTTTCTATGCTGAGTGACGGACAGTGCTGGCATTTGAGACCTGTGGTAGGCCCTGGGGGACAGGTGGAGTAGATGTGGCCTCGCTGGGGGTCACTCAGGTGTCCTAGCAAGAGGAAAGCGTGTGGAAGCAGTTCTTCGAGAACCGACCTGTGGGACTTGTCGGGAGACCTGACGAGGGAGTAACCGGCGTTTCAGGGGCAGGTGCTGCCACACCGGGAGAAACCTCAGGAGACGGTGTCTGGGACTGGACAGGGTCCTGCCTTGCGTCAGACGCGGGAAGGATGCAGGAAGGCGCTGTGGGGAAGGGGGCCCTGCGTCTGCGCAAAGTTGGCACCTTCCCCGAGGCTACCAGCAGCTGCTTCGAGGGACGGCCACCCAGCCCCGCTTTGGGGGAAAATGCGATCAGGTGGCGCAGGAGCCATTGGGAAGGAAAGCGGAACAGGGTGCTTGGTCAGCGGGGTGTGGCCCCGGAGCTAGTCACCCCCGCACTGTTGGGTCCTGCTGGACATGCTGCATGTAGATCATGCCCTTCTAGCTGTCCCGCCCGGGGCTGTGACCCTTCAGACTGCAGGACGGAGAGCACCGCCCTCCCACAGCCCAGCTGGTGACCACTGGAGACACTGAGGTCCCGGAGCGCGGTGGCCGGGCTTGCTTTCCTTGTTTCCCATGCACTTACCACGTTTTTTGGAGCCCCTACTGAATGCCAGTTCCTGTTCCAGGGGATACAGCAGAGAACTAATCAAGAAGCTTCTGGCACAAGCCTGGGACCTCAGAAGGCACAGTCTCCTGGCTAAAGGGATGCTGAATGTCACAGCCCCCGCGGAAGCTAGGGAGCGCACCCCTCACCCTGTGTTGTGAGAAACAGGTGCCAGTTTCTTTAGAAGCGCAGACCAGCAGCCCTTGGGTCCCTGTCCACAGGGGTGCTTGGTCACATGGGAGTTGGACTCACAGACACTGGCTGTAACTGAGCTTACCGGTGAGGGGGGCTGCCAGGGCCAGGAAGGCTTTCCACGGCAGGTGTGCCAAGGCTGGCTGGGTTCAGGCACCTGCCTCGCAGGTCTCTTGGGTGATTGATTCTGGCCTCCCCACCACAGGTGTGAGGTGCCCTGCTGCCGGCTGGTGATGTATATGGCATGTGCAGGTTCTTGCCGCTTTGTGGGCCTCGCCTCACCGGTGCGGGTGACCAGATGCCTGCCGAGAATGACCTATCTTTAGCCACTTCTTTTCTGAGTCTTCCCACACTGACTTGCTGTGCTAGGATTTGAAAAACTCTTATTTTGTGTTTGTATTTTAGAGAATTTTAATAATATTACAAAATATTAGTGTAAAAACTAAAAGTGTACATTTGTGGAAATGAATTTATGTTCCACAGTTACTCAAAGGAACTTCTGCTTGGTTTGGAACCTTGCTTTTAAGTTTTTCCTTTTCAAAGAAGCTTGGGCTTCTTTGGGGGGCCAATGATGGTGGCAGGGAGGCCAGGTACGAGGATTTTGAGTTTGTCTGTCACTACTTGTCAGCCGCAGGGTATGGAATCGGAGTCAGGGGTCGTCTGAGCCTTGGAGCCTGCGGTTGGGCTTTGCTGAACCTGGCCCAAGGGAGGCGGTGTGAAGACTGTCCTAAGTGACAAGGATGCTGGCTCTTCTGTTGACCCTGGTGGTCTCCAGTGAGGACATTCAGAGTCCACAGACTCAAAGGATCCTTGCAAAGGTGTGTCAGCTCACCTTGTCTAAAACTGGATTGGGATTCTCCTGGAGACCTGATGCCCTGGAGAGGCGCCGCTGGTGCTCCACCTGTGGATGGGAGGCAGGTGCATCGCCTTCGGACTCCTGCGCTTCCTGACCGCTCTCGCTGTTAGGCACCAGATGGACGCTTGTGTGGTTTGGGAATGCTCGAGATGTGCTGTCTTGCAGCACTGACCTTCGCGAGCATGCGCGGAGACGCACGGGGCGCAGCTGTCTGCAGCCCTGCGAGCCTGTGGGGCGATCCAGATGCCCCAGCTTCCGGACCATGCCTTTGCCAGTCGTGTGGTTTAGGGTTTGCCGGCTTCCCCCGTATCTGGGAAACATGACTCGCCAGCTGATGCTCCTTTGGTCATGTGGGTCGCAGGCCAGGAGGGTCAGTGTCACATCCTGGCGTCCTTGCACACTGGAGACACACCACCTGGTCTTGGCCTGTGCAGGCCGAGGCGTTGTCCTGCGCTCAGCCTCCCGGCCACACGTCCGTGCCCTAATAGGCCTGGCAGGCCTGCTGTCCTGCCCACTCGGCGTAACGAGTGTGGGCATTTCTAGAAGGGACTGACTACTGGGCACTTTCCACTCGTGGCAGGGAGCCAGCTGTGTTCACGGCCTCGCCCTTGCTGAGTGGTTGAAGTCACTCTTGTCCCGTGCCTGGATCACAGGACTCAAACCTTCCCCTGAGTTACCCGTTAGCCACTTACCAAAGGGTGCGATTGTCTTCCTGGCCCCAGGGAGGTGGCGCAGGGAGCCCCTGCCCAGCGCTGGCATCTGGAGGGTCAGGCAGGTCTGGCTGCACGGCCTCCCGTGCTGTCCTGAGTGTCCCTCTGTCACTTCCACACGTGTGGAAATGCTGTGTGCGAGACAGGGAGGCTTTTGTCCTAACCAAACTGGCAGGTTAATACTTCTTTCCCCATTTTAAAGATGAGGGGAGACAAAGAGATGAAGTTGCTTAAGGTCACACATCTAGTGAGTGGCAAAGCTGACATTAAATCCATATCTTCCCCACTACGCCGTGTCGCCTCTCCAAGGGGAAGTATCAAAGCGGGAGACGAAAACTTTGCAGTGAAACGTGGGAGGAGAGCCCGGGCCGCAGCCTGAGCCGTGGCCTGGGAGTGAGGGACAGGCGCCGTGTCCCTGACGCCGCCCTGGGACTCTCGCCTCAAGCCGCGTGGTCACGGTGCTTGAGGGGGTCGCGCCGTCCCCGCAGACGCCGCTTGGTCGTGATCACAGCAGTGCGTTTGCACCTGCATTTCCGCACGTGTGAATTGGGGCTGACCATGTTGTTTCTTTACCAAAGTGCTGTAATAATACAGTGGAAGGTGCTCAGAGACCCGTGAATGTGGTGGTGCCATTTGAATGTCACCACTTGTCACACAAAATTTGTAAAGTGATTTTAAAAATGTTTTTTATCAGGAAAGCAACTTTATTTACCTTTTGACCCCCTTCACTCATCCTCCCGCCCCCACCCCCGCCTCTGGCAGCCTCCAGGCTCTTCCCAGGATCTGAGCCTGTTCAGATTCCCCATGTGAGACGCAGCATCCAAGTGTCTTTCTCTGCCTGACGTAGTCCACTCAGCATAATGCCCTCGAGTTCCATCCAGGTTTTCCAAAATGGCAAGATTTCATTCTTTTTTATGGCTGAGTAGTTGCTTCCATATCTTGGCTGCAATGAACATAGGGGTGCACATATGTTTTCAAGTTAGTGTTTTGTTTTGTTTCAGATAAATGCCCAGAAGCGGATTGCTAGGTCACAGGGTAGTTCTGTGGCCCGTCGTGGCTGCCAGTCTGCGTTCCCACCAGCAGTGCACGAGGCTCCCTCGTCCACATCCTTGGCCAGCACTTGCTTCCTCTCGTCTTCGAGCGCAGCCATCCTAAGGGGTGCGAGGCGCCTCTCACTGTGGTTCTGGTGTGCGCTCCTCGACGGTCGTGATGCTGAGCGCCTTTTCATGTGTTCGTGGTGGCCGTCTCTGCATCATCTTTGGGAAAATGTCCAGTCAAGCCTCTTCCCATTTTTCAACCTGATGTGGGTTTGGTTTTTTCCCTTCTCGCTATTGAGTGATGTGAGTTCTTTATGCAGTTTGGATGTTAGCCACGTACCACATATACGATCTGCAGCCGTGTTCTCCCATTCCGTAGGTTGCCTTGTCGTTACGCTGAGGACTCCCTTTGCTGTGCCAAAGGAGGAAGCCTCTTTAAAGATGGGTTTCATCATTACTGGAGGATAGGTTCTTACTCTCCCACAGCACCTGATTCTAGTGGTTCTGGAGCCGGTCCTGCTGCGGGGCTGCTGCCCGGGGCCCTTTCTCTGGGTTCCTACCCCTCTGCCCTCTTCCTGCCTCAGGACACGCTGGTCCTTCGTGTTCCTTATTTCTGCTCCCCCAGCGTGCATGGGGACTGCTTGAATGACACTGTGAACATGTGTCTCAAGGGGCAAAAAGTTGTCTTCATTTCTCAGGTACAGTTTATTTTTAGCAGAATGGCAAGATGCATGACCGGGGCTGCCTGCGCTCCGCAGGGCATGTGTCTTGGCCAGGCCAGCTAAAGAAACTGCAGAGAGATCGCCACGTTCATGGAGAGTTCTATTAGAGAAACCTACAGGTTCACTCCAGCTGGAGTGCGGCCGAGCTCAGATCCCTTGGGGTGCCCACAGGGACAGGTATCTCTTGTGCTGCACGTGTGTCTCTTAGATTCTGTGAGGGGCGGAGGGGCCCCAGGGAACTTGAGCAGTGCGTGGGTGCGCCAGTGTCCCCAAAGTGGCCTTGATGGGTGCTGGGCCCCGCTCCTCCTGCAGCCACCCGGCCCACATCCGTTTTCTCGCAGATACTTACCCCGTGTGACAACCCTCGAGGTGGGTTCCTGGGACAGTCTGTTTCCTAGGTGGACGCCTCCCACCACGCCCAGTGCTCCATGCACCAGCATGCCGTGGCCAGCCTGCGGGGGTCCCGGAGGCCTGCGACTTGGAACCGCCGGCCTGGGGGCGCACTAAGGAGGCATGCACAGCTCCCGGCCCACGTGGCGAGGCCGCTTCAGAGACACGCCCTGCCGAGGCCCCTTGTTCCCCAGGACTGGGGTCTCAAGGGCCTTCCTGATTTGGCTGGGGTCTCAAGGGCCTTCCTCCCGCCAGTTCGCTTCCTTGGCTCCTCGCCCCACACGTTCGCTTCCTTGGCTCCTCGCCTCACGCCGAGGCCCCTTGTTCCCCAGGACTGGGTGGCGTTGGGCCCCCAGGATTTGGCTGGGGTCTCAAGGGCCTTCCTGCGGGGGGCGCCCCCACTCTGGGCCTAGGCCCGCCAGTTCGCTTCCTTGGCTCCTCGCCTCACACCCAGAATGCCGGCGTCCTCACTGCCTCTGACGCTGACTCCTGTGGGGACAGTGCCATGTGCTTGGGCTGTGTGTCCCTGTAACCACCTCAGGGCTGGCAGGAGCCCCATCACCACCACGTGGACGGGCCTCGGGCTGAGGCCTGGACCCCAGCCCGGACGCCGCCTCCCTTGCACGTCCGCACGTGGTGGCTGAGGCTCCTTTGCTCCTGCTGAGTAGCTTTCCTGTGTGACAGCCCCAGCCATTCTGTGTAGTTACCGGCAGGCTTGCTCTCAGGTGGCCCGGCTCGTCCCCATTTCTGTCCCTTTCCCACCTTCGTTTGCCTGTGTCCGCTTCAGCTGGCGTGTTGTTAGTTTTGTGTCTGGAGTTGGGAGTGTCACTCTAGGGGTGCAGTGGGTGTCCCTGAGCGTTCCCGGCATCGCGGCTCTGCCGCACCAGGCCCCCGTGGATTCGCCGAGCCCCCCTGCTGCCCGTGCTGGCCTGTCACAAGGTGCCCCACACCGGTGTGGAGTCACCGTGCTTTTAGGAACACAGAGGGAAGCAGCCCGTGTCGTTTGCCATTCCTGTCGCTCTTTCTTCTCAATCCTCTGTCTGGAGAACGTCCTTAGCTGCTCTGCGGGCCCGGGCTCTGTCGCACGTCCCTGTCCGAGAACGTTGACCTCTGGAGGATGTGTTTGCTGGGGACAGAGTCCTTCACGGCTGGAAGCCTCTGGTTAAGAGAAGGGGACACAGGCTCGGAGGTGTCCGCCGTCTGCTGCTCGGGACCCGGGAGTGGGGCCTGTGGCGCCCTCTGCAGGCGGCTGTGAGGATGCGGCTGCTGGGTGCGTGGCCTGTCCCCGGTCCTGACTGGCGGGGGGTGGGGAGTGGGGTGGTCTCCAGGGCGGCTTCCTCCCACATGAAGCTCTGCAGGTCCAGCCAGAGGGGGACGGGGCACCAGAGCCCACGCTTCCCTCAGCCGGCAACTGGCTCTGCTGCCGCATCGGCACCGTCAGGGGCCTGCGCCTTCTCGCTGTGGGTCCTCGTGTCCCTTCTCCGCTCCCACGTTCTTGGGCTGCTGTCCTTGCAGGCTCGGATGCGGCCATTGCCTGTGTGCAAGGCTGTCGTCTCAGTGTGGTCTTGCTGCCCGGTCACTCAGCAGCAGGTGCCAGCGCAGGGACCTGCCCTCTGGGCCTCAAGTGGCAGTCTTGAGCGCCCACCTGAGAGCGTGGGCTCTTCCTGCCCAGCAGGTGGCTCTGGGCCGCAGTCTCGGCGCGGGCAGGCACGCGCTTCTCATGCTGACGCGTGTGTCTGGCTTTCAGGCGCGCCCACACCCTCACCGTGCTGTTCATCCTCACCTGTGTGCTCGGCTACGTGACTCTGCTGGAGGAGACGCCGCAGGACACGGCCTACAACACCAAGAGGTAAGCGGCCGGCAGGGTGGCCGTGGGGCCTGGCCGCGCTCAGCAGGCCATCAGGCACGTGACCTACGGCTCATGTCGGGTGGGGGCGACTAGAATATGTGCCAGTGGCCCCAGGGACCCAGCCCGGAAAGTGGTTTTGGTCAGATGTCCACCCGAGGGAGCCCCAGGCCTCACGGGGCAAGGGCCTGGTCCCTAAAGTCTCCTCCCCGCCCCCTTCAGACTCCACCTGTGAGGCCACATGGTCACCTGGGCTTCTGACCAGCTGGCCCTGGATTGGAGGTTCCCATGACCCGTCCTGGGTTCGATTAGCTTGCCGGTGCGCTCACGGAGCTCAGAGGAGCGAGTCCGTCACCAGACCTGCGTTTCCTGCGAGAGGCTGGGACGCGGGAACCGCCACATGGGAGGCGCGTGGGGCAGGGCATGGGAGGGCGCCCAGCTCCTGCCCCCTCTGAGCAGCCGCCCTCCCCACCGCTCCGGTGGTCGCAAACCCTGAAGTCCTCTGAAACGCCCCTTCTGGATTTTTACGGAGGCTTCGTACAGAGGCAATTAAGTTATTGGCCGCTGGTGACTGAACTTGGCTTCCAGTTCCCCACCCCTCCCCCAAGGCTGTGGTTGCTTCTCCTGGTGATCAGCGCCCACCCTTAGGAGCTCCCAAAAGTCACCTCATTCACAGAACAAAAGAGCC